TATTAAAGTAAACCCTATAAAGTTAATTTAATAGATTGGGTGCCAACAGAGAATCAGCCATCCTTACGAAGAAAACTTTTGAAGTGAGTTTCATAAATTTCCTTTTACTGCACAGATATAGAACGTATTTTTGGGATTTTTGAAAATTTTATTTTAATAATATATTAAAAAAAGACCATATACAATATACAATATTATTTATTTACAACCCTTCTCAACCACCCGAAATACCCTATATTTGCTCTACCACTGGGCATGCACATTATTATAAGTGGCAGTAACACATGCAAGCAAGACACTCGAATGTCATCTTGTCTTTTTGCATGGCAGACGAGGCCACTGAGAGGCAGCTTGGAATTTGTTGTCAGAACTTAAGGCCAGTTACTAAGTTGCTTTTGAGTTATGGTCCAGTTTTTGGCTGGCTTTGTCTTCTTTTGGAGCGATGCAAAGTTGTGTGAGCCGTCAGCTCAGGCTGATGAGAACTCCATCAAAAGTTGTTAAATCTGGTAAATCTGCTGGGACTTATATACGATTATACACTCTTATACTGCAGCGTTATCGGGACGATTATTTGGAGGATTACGACTGCATCGGCTACAAGCATACGCTGGCCACATTCTATTCGAAGATCTGCTTCTGGTGGCTTACTTCGCTGCTCTGGCTGGGCTACAAGGAACCGCTCGAACTGGAAGATCTGGGCCAAATGCGATTGGAGGATAGCGCCAGAGCGCATTACGATCGGTTTTTATATATATATACCGAGGAGATGGTGAGTTATTAATACTTATTGAATAATATTATTAATATTCGTAGGATTATTAATTATGAACAATTTTATAAAAGAGCTTACGTGCATATATTGGTCAAAATAATGAGTTCTGTTAGATATGTGTAAAAACTCAACAGGAATTAAAAAAAAAACAACATAAATTAATTAATAATAACTAATAAAGAGTTAAAAGTCGGGGAGAGAGGAAGAAAGAGAGAGAGAGAGAGAGAGTGAAATAGAGGCGCGGGAGAAAGAGATAGATGTATATAGATGTATATATATTGTATAAATATATAGAGCGAGTCGTAACCCCAGAAAAGCGTTGCAGAAGCAGTAATTCCAGATCAAAGTTAATACTGTGCAGTGTAATATATTGAATATTATTTTACATATGACACAATAGCATATATTCATATATACATATATTCATACATACATATATACATATATATTCATTAATATGTCCACGCATATTCGTAAGTCTTTGCACTTAAGTATTGTGATAATAACCCATATGAAAAAGGCATTAAGCGGCCACTGAGCTCATTGACTGTCATTTAATTAAAAATTACACATTAACAACAAACAACAAAAAAAAAAGAAAGGAAAACAGTAAAAGAAAATAATAAATAAATAATTAAATGCGACTGGCAAAAAAAAAAAAAAAAACAAAAAAACGAAGCCCTGTTACAATTGAGTCTTCTTTCCGGCTTGGCGTGGCCGGGCTCTGTTGAATTTCCATTAAGAAAATATTGTATTTCATTTGCAAAAAGCACAACAAGCAAATTGCTTAATTATTTATTTCAATGCAATGCCGCCCGTTGCCCAGCGGCAATAAATTATCAATGCGAATAAAATATATACACATGTACATACCTTTGTGCATATATTTGAATATATCACGCGATGGGCCAGAGATGTGGCCATTTGCTTGATAACAAAGTGAAAGTGTGGTCTTTGTCGAGCTTGCTTCGGGCATACCCTGCAATGCAAAAGAGCTCGAGAAGGGTCGACTGGCAAAGTGGATAGAGATTTTTGAGTTTCGATAGGCGAAAAGAAAAGAAAGAGAAAATCTAATGGAGAGGAGCCAAGAGAAGATATAAAGATAATGAAGATTAAAGTGAGAGAAGAGCGAAGAGAGAGCACAGAAAAGTGAAAGCATAAGAAAAATAGGAGTGAAGAGAGTATATACAAAAAAGCAAGAAGAAAAAGAAATGCGAGCATTAAAATGAAAGAAGTAAGAGAAGAAAAGAAAGAAGGTTAGAAAAGAAAAGATATAAACAAAGAGAAGACAATACAAGGAAAATAAAGTAACAAAAAAGAGAGCAGATAATTTTCTTAAAATAAATTTAAAATATACTCCTTAAAATCCATACTTTCTTTTCATATATGTGAATTCTACAGGGTATTTGCTCGCTGGTATTTCAACAAAGCTGAAATTGTCTTGGTTCGTGTGTTTTTTAAATGTTAATTTATTTGCCGCATTTTGTGCGCAATTTTTAATGACAAAATGGCAACTGACTGTGTAAATTATTATGAAATGCCAGCGAACGATGTAGCCAAAGGATATATTAAACGTCTGGCATTAATGTGCTTATTAATTACACTTAATAGGTGCCACATGGCGTATACGTAATATCTAAAGAGTTTACATATATGTTGAACGCGGGCCGATAGTGTATATTAATCAAAAATTAAAAATATTGAAATATAACACAGCAATTTTATA